TTATAAGATTTTGGTTAGGCCATGCTTGGAGTATTGGATTAAATTTTAGTTGCCAAGAAGGATGTGGAGGCTTTGGAGAAGGTGCAGAAGAGGTTTACCAGGATGTTACCTAGATTAGATGGTATGAGCTATAAGGAGAGGCTAGAAAAACCCGGGCTGTTTTCTCTGGATTAGCGCAAACCGAGGCAAGTCTGTAAAATTATGAAATGAAAAGATATGGTTGACGGTCAGAATCTCTTTCCCCAAGAACTGAAATGTCTAATACTAGGGGGCATTCATTCAAGGTGAGACGAGGTGGGTTCAAAGGAGATGTGAAGGGCAAGTGTTTAACATAGAGGGTGATTGGAGGCTGGAACGTGCTGCCAGGGGTAGTGGAGGAGGCAGATACGATAGGGGTATTTAAGGGACTCAGATAAGCACATGAATAGGCAAGGAATGGAGAGATCAGACCAAGGGCAGGCAGAAAAGATTAGCTTAATGTGGCACCATGTACAGCACAACATCATAGGCCCAAGGGCCCATTCCTGTGATGTACTGTACTATGTACTGCTGAGGCCTATAATGTCTTGTCAGACTGCATTTGGAATATTATGAGGAGTTTTGGGCCCCATACCGAAGAAAGGATGCGCTGGCGTTGGAAAGGAGGTTAACGAGAATGATCATGGGGATGATGGTTTATCATAGAAGTGGTGAGGACTCTGGGTCTATACTCAGTTTAGAAAGATGAGGGGGAATCTCATCGAAATGTACGGATTACTGAGATACCTAGACAGACTAGTCAGTGAGAAGATGTTTCTATTATTCGAGAAACTGAGACCCAAATGAACAGCCACAGACTGAAAGGATGACCCTTTAGAACTGAGATGAGTGGAATGTCTTAAGCCAGAGGATGGCTAGTCTGTGGAACTCAGTACCACAGAAGGCTGTAGAGGCAAAGTCCTTGTGTGTATTTTAGACAGAAATAGACAGGTTGTTGATTTGTAGGGGCATTAAGGGTTACAGGCAGAATGGAGTTGAGAAACGCATTAGCCATGACCAAATGGTGCAGCAGCCTTGATAGGCGAAGGTCCCAATTCTGCTCCTATAGCTTACGCTCTAGGACAGATGGCCAGTTATTTTTGCCTGGCTGCCACAGATATAATGGATTGAATGGTCTCTTTCAATAACAAAGTTTCTATGGTTTAGACTTCCTTATTTGGAAAAGGATACAATTGCTTTAATAGCAGTTCAGAAAAAGGTCACTCAACTCATTCCTGGGGATGAAGGGCTTATTTTGTGAAGGAACGTTCACAGGTCAGGCCGATAGCCATTGGGTTTTAGAAGGACGAGATTCAAGATCTTACGTTTCAATAAAATTGTTATAGTGAAGAGCCAAAGTATGTTTCCTCTGGTGAGTGGACGAGAACCAGGTGATGACAGTTTAATAACAGGTCTCCTGTTGAAGACTGATGCAAAGTTTCTTTACCTTCGAGGGTTAACAGAGAGGTGAATTCTCTTCCCAAAAGATAGCGGAGGTTGGGTCTTTAAATTTATTCAAAAGCCGAGTTTTGTTCAACAGTGATAATACGGGTTATGTCGAGCAGACAAAGTGGAGCTGTGACCACAATGATTTTATTGAATGGTGAAGTAGAGGTAAATGGCCTAGTTCTATTACTGCTAAGTATAAACTACCCCACACTTCTCAGTGATAAGCCTTACTCGCTCTCCCTCTTCCCAAGTAAAACTCCCTGTCCACACCGCAAAATAAATTACCTCCCTTCAGTAAAACTCCATGCATCAGCAATAAATCATTCTCCTCAGCAAAACTCCCCATCTTGACAAAATATCTTCACTAAAACACCTCACCTCTCTGTCCATAATCCTACTCGTGAGTCCCTGAGCTCACCATCCTCCCCACCTGACTCCCAAATACCCCTTTTCTTCTCCACCGGCACCCAAACATCCCTCCTTAGCCCACCCTGGACCTCTCACCCTAGGATGCCAAATCTCCTGCCCTTGAACCCCAATCTCTACTCTCCGTCCCTCCTCTTTTGACTCCCAGATCTTCCACCCCAGACATTTCGCCCCTGCCACCGTGCTCTCTTTGCTCCTACAAATCTCCCTTCTTTATCTTTTCTCACTCAATTCTCCTCTCTAACTCTTGGTCCCAAATCTCCTGCATTCTTAGCACTCAATTTCCTCTCCTACCAAAAATGCAGCGGAGGCCTCAACTGCCTTCAGCTGCTTCAGTGACTTCCTTCCATCAAAAGGTCAGAAGTAGGGATGTTCGCTGATGATTACATAAAGTTCAAAGTATTTCCAACAAGCCAATCTAGCAACTATTGCTTGACAGAAAATGGTGTATCATCACTGAACCGTACCCCTCAATATCCCAGCACTTACCACTGACTAGAAAGTGAACTGGACTTGCCACCTAAATGCAGTGGCTACAAGAGCAGGTCAGAAGTTCAGAATCCTGCAGTGAGGAACTCACTTCCCATCTTCCCAAAACCAGTCCACTATTTATAAGGCACAAGTCAGGAGTGTGATGGAATACTTGCCATTTGCCTGGATAAAGGTAACACTCAAGAAACTGACATGATTCAGGACAAAGCAGCCTGCTTAATTGGCACCACAACCAGAAACAATCATTGCCTCCACCCCCCGACACTCAGTAGTGCATTGTGTACCATGTTGAAGAAGCACTGCAGCAAATCACCAAAGATCCTTAGAAAGCAGAGTCTTACAGAACAGAAACAGACCCTTCAGTCCATCTCATCCAAGCCGACCAGGTATCCTAAACTAAAGTAGCCCCATTTGCCTGCATTTGGCCCATAACCCTCTAGAGCATGCCATACTCTTACTGTGGCACTTGTGTTGCCCCTTTCAGGGAGTTATGGACTTGCACCCCCAAGATCCCTCTGTATATCAATGCTCCTAAGGATCTTGCCATTTACTGTATACTGTTGTCTTGCATTTGACCTCCCAAAATGCATCACCTCATTTGTCCAGGTTCAACTCCATCTGCCATTTCTCTACTCAACTTTCCAACTGACCTATATTGTGCTGTGATAACAAGGTGTAGAGCTGGATGAACACAGCAGGCCAAGCGGCATCAGAGGAGCAGGAAAGCTGACGTTTCGGGCCTAGACCCTTCTTCAGAAATGCTGTATCGTTTGACAACATTCCTTACTTTTCACAACTCAACTAATTTTCATGTTGTCTACAAGCTTAGAAATCAGACCACCTACATTTCCATCCAAATCATTTACAAATATTACAAATAACAGATCTGATCCTTGTATAACATCACTGGTTTCAAACCCACGACTGCTTCCATCTAGAATGACAAGGGCAGCAGATGCATGGAAGCACTATCACGGGCAAGTTCACCCACCATCCTGACATGGAAATATATTCCCATTCCTTCAGTAATACTGGGTCAAAATCCTTAACCACATTGAAAGCCTACCTACAGCAATTCAAGAAATCTGTTCACCCTTAACTCATTAGATGATATAAGAGTTACATAACACTATAAGACAAGAAGTAGGTCATTCAGCCCAGAAGTCTGTTCTCCCATTCAATGAAATCATGGCTGATCTGTTAATCCTCAACTCTATTTTTCTGCTTTCTTCACCCCACAAACTCTCTATTTCCTTACTGATTAAAAATCTGTCAACCTCAATCTCGAATATACTTAATGATCCAGCCTCAATAGCCCTTTGTTTATGAGGAATTCCACAGATTCACAACACCCAAGAAATTCCCCTTCATTTCTCTCTTAAATGTGTGATCCCTTATTCTGAGATCACACCATGTGGTCAAGAGGAGACAACCTTTCCACATCTACTCAACTTCTTCTCATAATAAAGTCCTTCAGACCTCACATCAGTCTAGTGAACTTCTCTGGATAGCCTCAATTGCTTAGATAAGTTTTGAATAAAGTTTTGAAAAAGAGTCACTGAGCCTGAAACGTTAACTCTGATTTCACTCTACAGATGCTGCCAGACTTGCTGAGCTTTTTCTGCAATTTCTGTTTTTGTTTCTGATTTACAACATCCACAGTTCTTCAGTTTTTAGACCTGTATTAACATGCTGTTTAGCACAGAAATAGATTTATGCTGCGTCTACAAAGGTTATTCATTTGTTTTTGAGGTGGCGGATCTGTGGAATTCGGTCACGGATGCCAGGTCACTGAGTACATTTAAGGAGAAGACAGGCAGATTTTTAACTGGAAACCGAAAGAACTGCAGATGCTGCAAATCAGGAACAAAAACAGAAGTTGCCGGAAAAGCTCAGCAGGTCTGGCAACAATCCGTGAAGAAAAAAAAATCAGTTAACGTTTCGGCTCCGGGGACCCTTCCTCAGAACAAGTAATGGGTTGATGTGTTATTAAGGAAAGTGGAGTTGACGCCAGGAGAAATTCAACCATGATCGTATTGAATGGTGGAGGGGTCTCGCTAGACTCAATTGCCATCCTCGAATGTTCTAAATTAAATTTTTTTGTGATTCATTCACAAGGATCCCCCTGTGTTTTATCTTCCTGCAGTCTCTCCCCATTTAACACAATCAGCTCCTCGGTGCTTCCTGTCAGAGTGCATAAGCTTACATTTGCCTACGATATTCCAACTGACAACATCTAGCGCACTTTCTCACGGAGCAGTCAGAGAGGCCAATAAACACAGGCCCAGCCAGCGAGACCACCCCCATTCCCCGAACTCTCGATACGGGCCTGGAACTGAAGGCGACTTTCACCAGGCGGAGTCCGCCACTATAGGCCGAAGCACCCTGAGCATTGTTGGCCGGGGATGAAAGGCCCAAAGGAGAGATAAGTTACAGCAGGCGGCCTTGGCCCTTACCTGGTACGGGCAGAGCCGAGCCATACTGCCGCTGGCGGAGCTGAACAGCGGAATCCATGCGGCCAAGACAGAAATCAGAGCCAGTCCTGGGCAGGAGGAGGGATCACGTGGGAGGCGGCGGCGGCGAACGGGCTCGGTCACGTGGGGGCGTGATGACGCGATCTGGTCGCGTGGGACGCTGGGCTGGGTCTCGCTGATGGAGGGTTCGTCTGGACCTGATTCGTGTTAGAGGCAGTACGGAGGGAGCGCCGCATTGTCGGAGGGTCCGCGCCGAATGAGCGCCGCATTGTCGGAGGGTCAGGGCTGTGGGTCCGGGCACTGTCGGAGGGTCAGCGCGGAGGGAGCAAGCGCACACGGAGGGTCAGTGTCAAGGGAGTGGTGCTGTCGGAGGGCGCGCATTGCTCACGACTGACCCTCTGACCACGCTGCGTCGCCTCAGTCTGCCCCTTCTGACGGGACACCACCGGCTCAGGCACTGCACTGTGAAAGCTTTTAGATCACGCTTTAGTGCAATAACCTGCTGATATTTACAATAATGCTACCAGTCCACTCATGCTGCCCCCCCCCCCGTAATGAAGGATAGTCAATCTAAACATTGCCCAATCTTACTCCTGGTAGTTCCTTATGCCTGGCTGTGCACTGTTAAACCATAACAGTAGTTTTAGACCATAAGACATTGGAGCAGAATTAGGCGTTGCAGCCCATCGAGTCTGCTCCACTATTCAATCATGGCTGATATGTAACTCAACCCTATTCTCCTGCCCGTCATCATAACCCTTGATCCCCTTACTAACAAGAACCTAGCTATCTCTGTTTTAAACACAATCAAAGACTTTGTTTTGGATTATATATTTAACATTTTTCCCTGTATCTTTCTGTTCAATTAGGATACAGCAAGGTATTGGAGAAACTGTAGCAGTTTTCTCCTCCAAGATGTCCAGAGTTTGGTTCTCTTTGTGTTTTCTGCCTTTCTGGACAATCCTTCCAGTCTCAGGTGAGGAATTGTCGTGGAAATGGAGCTGACAGTTATGTTTCACAGATTAGTGCAGGCACTGAGTCTTGTTCAGCAACCTGATTGAAAACACTCTGCAAGAAACAGGTTGTTTCTTTTAAACTAGCCTCCTCAGCTGCTCCTGCAGACTGGTGTAGGTCCAAATCACTTTGGGTTTGGGTTAGTTTCGCTGGGATGTTAGTTCACAATGCCAAATCCATCTTGGGATCAAAAGTTGCATTCAGCATTGCGGAGTGAAACCTGTGGATTTGTTGCATCTGACCTGATCCCATAGGAATGCAGAATTTCTCCGTAGCACAGGACCTGAAAATGGCCATAACCTATATGAACAGATTTTCAGAAATCCCCATTGTATCTTCTGCTCTGGGCTGGCAGGTCCTGCACATGTTACATGATCTCGCGCTCATTTCCCAGTCTGCACATGCCTGAACCTGTTCCTAGCAGTCTGATAAGCCAGAGATAGTAGGAACTGCAGATTCTGGAGAAGCCGAGACAACAAGGTGCAGGGCTGGATGAACACAACAGGCCAAGCAGCATCATAGGAGCAGAAAGGCTGATGTTTCGGGCCTAGACCTAAACGTCAGCCTTTCTGCTCCTATG